GTAGTGCATCTAAAAAGATGCAATTTTTTTTTCTAATTTTACAATTTATCAAATTGAATATAAAGCCAGATAGATTTGATGTGAAATTATTAATTCAAAAATTGTTTAAACAATTTATTGTTGTTATTTATTAACTTTTTTATAGTGCACCTAGAAAGATGCAGATTTTTCCTAATTTTACAATAGGAAAAAATACTGCATTTTTCTAGGAAAATTATGAAAAATGTTCATAAATAGAAACAATTATTTAATTTAAATTATTTAATTCTATATTTTATTTTATTTATAACCTTTAAATTAATAACTACTAAGAGAAGGTAACAAATTTATAAAATTGTGCTACTATCTATGTGTATTTAAAAAAGTTACAAATTATGAACAATAAATTGTTTGAACAAATAAAAATTCAACAAAATATTTTTGAAATTTATTATTTGGCAATATATATATATATATGTGACGCGATCTGAAGAAAAGGACCTTAGAAGCAAAAAATTATAGGTTACTTTTAGAAATTTTAAAGTGAAAATACACAAAGACGTTCAACTCGTAATGCAAACTAATGATATTTAGGTCTTCATTGCATCCAAAATATTCAATAAAAACTGATTTCAGTTTTACAAAAACAAAAATAAACTTTTAGTTCAAGTAAAACTATTGTAAACATAACCAATAATTCATTTGCTTCTAAGGTCCCTTTCTTCAGATCGCGTCATATATATATATATATAACAATTAAATAAATTAACAAATAGAACTATGGAAAAATGTCTTTAAATATTTATTGCCAATTAATAAATAATTAAAACCATATAAATAATTATCAATTAATTAAATAAGTATTATCTGAGAGTACTTTACAAATCCTAAATTCAATCACTTTTTTTCATAAAAAATTTTCTAACACTTAACTAGATGTTCCAGCTAAGTCCAAGTTAGAACCAGTCTAGAATATATAAACAGGGGCTGCCTCGGTTGGACCAATGTTGGGCCAACAATCATTTTAGGCATACGTTGGTGATTTCTACACGGGTAGGTATATATATAAATAAGTTGTTCAAACTTAGTTCCTTAATTTTGTGCCGTGGATTGCCCATATTCTTGTAATAACTATTTTAGAGTGGAAGATTGTGTAAAGTTTTAACAGATTAATATTTTTTAAAAATAATACACACAGGCAAACAGACGATTTCGTAAAATTTCGTAAAATGTAATACCTTCTCATTATGATGAGAATGTAATATACATCTAAAATGCATACGAAATTCAATTCGATTGTGTTAGAGAATGTAACAGACAAGTGCACTTTAAATTTAATAAAATTCGGTAAAAAAAATGTTTTATCATTTAAAGAATATGCCAAACACTGTATGGGAATGTTCTTCAATATCTGTTATGTAAACGTGTGAGGGGATCTCTCATATCCGAAGTTGATCGGATCGGGGGCATTGCGTATCATGATTCACATATCTCCGTGATGTTTATCTGATAAAAGGGAGTTACAAGGGGTAAAACCGAAAGGAAGAAAGTTACATCAGAAGTTGATTCGTGACTAGTTATATTGGCTCGTTTACACTAAATTGTTATGTCTCCAAACTTTCTAGACTCCAAGGAAACTTTTTCCTAATCGAATTTTCTTCACATCAGTTGGTTAATCTTATAAAAATTCATTTTCTAATATTTATATATTCATAGTTATTACAATATATTGAACTGTATAATTATTCTCACGCTTTATCATATGTTAAAGTTATATTTATATTTATTTAACAAACATGTCAAAAAAACTGTAAATGCCATTTTATTCTATGTATTTCATACTTTAAGAAATAATTTTGACTGAAATCCTACTTGATCGCGTCTTCAAAGTAATCCAGAAACAGTTTTAACAATTTATTAAAATAAGTTTATACATATACTGTGCACTACTCAAATCGGTTAAGAATACATATATACAGTTTAGTACGGTTGGTAAAACCAGAAAAAATAGTGAAGCAACTTATATCGATGTTAAAGGTACCAGCAGCGATTAGTTTGATCATTAAAGAGGGCGAGTGCAAGACGTGGAAGGACTATTACCCAGCAGGATACTAGCGCTTTATCTCTGCAGTCAATTAGATCCGTAAAGAATTTGGACATACCTCATTGATCCCTTTTTTGGACTTTTCGGTTGTCTGGGACAATTTGTGTTTCCTTTTTTTTGCCGCAGAAAGTCTTATATAGAAAATTAATATGATTTACGATTTCATCTATCATTTATCAAGTTTTGTTTTCTTTTTTTTTTGATAAAATAATCAAGCTTAAAATATCCATAATTAAAGATTATATTTTTTATTGTTTCAATTTGTTTATTTTAATTATTTATGTATATTGATAATCGTTTTTTCCTATATTAATATAATGATTTGATAATTCGTGTATACCTAAAAAAAATTGTGCCCTATGTTTTGAGATTATACTTATGGCGCAGGTCCAATCAGCAGAAGCAATCAGTTGCGTTTTTTTGTGTGCCAGCAATAGTCGAGGTATATAAAAGTGATCGTCAATCGGTTGAGAAAGTGTCGATGGTCAAGCTACCCAGAGTTCCTAAGAGACTCATTTTCTATACAGCAGAACATCCCCTTATTCTAAATGCAAGGGGGTGAGTTCGATATATCCCACTCTCAACTGCGGTCGATCTCTATTATCCAACACAACTAAAGAATACACAACTTACAACGTTTTATCTAATAGATATGACCAAATGTCAGTTGCAAATTACAATTTTGCCAAACACTAAAAAAATATTTCACATCATCTCAACTACAGTCGACAAAACTTTTAGTGGATTAAATAACATTGATTTTACTCAAAATATAAATTGCATATTTTTGCATTTACAATTAAAATTCCGGATTTGCTATTTAAATAATTTTAATACTGGAACAAAAATGGCCAAACGTATTTAAAAATAATTTATATGATTAAAAATTTTAATAAAAAGTTATTAGAATCATAGCACTGATAAGGTTTAAGGCTCTGATATATTTTTTTGCGTTTCTTACGTCAAGTACCAAAAGAAACGATTCTGAACGATGAGGAGAGTCGTATCCTGACGATTTACGATCTTGCGGAGGACATATAAACAATGAGTAAGCGCTTGGTTATTACCTCTCGTAGCGAGAATAACCTCCACCTTCTTCATTCTTGGTTGGAATCGTGACATGGATGCTCTTGCGAAAAAAGAATTCCCTTTACTTACTTTTGAACAATTTCCAAATAAACTAATCTCAATTTCTCTTAAACGAAAAATTGTAAAATTTTCGATATTTAACTTCTTTTTCTAATTATGTATTCTTGAATCCTTTTTCTCTTTTATTTTCAAATCAATAGGTATTTAACACAAAGGAAAGAGATTTTTTTGTCTTCAGTTAAAATCCGTCCCTGACTGTATAAGCTGGACAAGTTCACGTGTACGTGTGAGTACCTGTAGAAGGTGAACCCCGATCGACTATGGTTATATATAAGTATTCCCGAAGGCAAGGGGCAATTTGTCCCGGTCATTTGGCGAGTCCACAGGGACTCCCTGACTGTAATCCAATCACTAGCCACACTTTCTTTCCTTCTTCATACTGTTTCTTCTTCTTTTTTTTCTCTCTCCCAACCCATCACGTTGACGATCACCACCTACTTTTATCTTTTTCTTTCCTAACAGAGTCCTTTTCCACATTTCCAACCCTCTTTTAGTCACCAAACTTGTGTTATTTAGTCATCGAATAGCTTTCACTGATTCCCTATATATTTATAAATTAACAGATTTCTTGATAACATTTTCATTATCCGCACAACAAATTCAGGATCAATAGTGTGTAATTAGTTTCTTTTTAAATGTGAAATATTCGTAAACTTTTTTCTAGAGACACAATTGGAGCCAATAATTACGAATCTGAAGTCAGTTTTCAAAAATTCAAAATGGTAGATCTAATATGGCGGACAGTAAGTTCAAAAAATGAATGTTCACACACAGTTTCTTTAAAAGTATCAATTTGGCTTGCAACATTATGATCTCATAAAAAAAATCAAATTGACTCAAAAATTTGGATCATTTTTAAAAATGATCCGAAAATCTGGATCAATTTTTGATCCTTAAATTGGTATCAAAGTTCGAGTGTTATGGCTGGCATATACTAACTAGAAAGTTTATCAATTAATTTCTTAATTTTATCCCATTTTTAATTGAAATAAATAATTTTATTATGAATTTCGCGTGAGAAACGAGCAAAAATTTATAAGTATTGAACAGTTTCAGTTATAGAAAACTTCTTTTAGAAATAAAGTGCAATACACTAACCTGCATTAATGCCTGTGGCAAGTGAGTAAAGGTAAGTTTACACATGCCTACAAATGATTAGCATATGAAGGTACTTGTACGTTTAAGGTACGGTCATGTCGACTTTTCTAACACACGTATTGTCCAGGATGGCAACATGTGTGTGAGACAAGGACAAAAAAGTATAGGCATATACGATGAGGACTGTATGTTATCATGACTAATTGCAGACAGGCAACAAAACTGTGACTGTATTTTTCCAAAAAAAGTGATTTTATGGTGGGAAATTTAAAATTAAAATTTCTTCTTACATTCTTAATAACCTATTATAATATTTACAAAAATTTAAAACATTTAAATTTCTAATAAAATCTAATTTTAAGAATGACTAAAACTGTAAAAAGCTAGAAAATTAAGTTCACCGATATGTACTTATCCATAACTTGGGTAAATCCATTTTGTCCACACAACTGGGATTTCAAATCACACCTCAGATTTTATTATAAATTTAAAGAATGGTTTAAATGGAAATACTTTACACGTGAAATAAATTGTAATTTAAAACATACAGGTACATAAAAAATATATATTTATTTGTTTTAAAATAACACTAATTTTTAGAATTATATAAAGATGTATTATTGTTTAGGGATAATCCTTCATATTAAAGAAAACGATAATTAAATGTGATTATAAACAAGTGTTTTATAATTTAGCTTTTGTTATTATATTATTGACATAAATGGACTCAATTCCATGAGGTCCTAAAATGCGCTCTGAATTATCGCCGAAAGTTATGACGCTTAGAAGTGTCAACTGTTTTTGGAAATCTTTATCAAAAGCTATGTCGAATATCCAATAAGTGGCTAATAATCTCACATTTTTATCACAGTCACCACAAATAATTAGAAAAGAAGCTCTGTCAACTTTTGATACCTCTGAATCATTTTCTTCGTTGTCAACCTTAAATAATAATAAAATTCAATTAATTAAAATGCAATACCTTGTTTAAATGGCGACTTTTCGTAAAAACCAGAATTAAAAAGCTGTATTATATTATATTATTTAAAAATTCTTTTAATGCATGTGTTGTAAAATTTTAAGAAATTATAAAAAAGCTTATACTTTTCATAATTCTCTCAAATAATTTTAAAAAATTACCTCGATTACTGTTACCAGTTTACGTTTTTGTTGACGACCTCGTTTTTTTCAAATGGGAAGAAAGAATCAATCTTTTTCAAAAAGAGAAGTTCTAAGTTTTCTTCGCCACTATCTTCTGTTATTATTAAAATTAATTAAGGTATAGCATGTTTTAAGTTTTTCAACATGGTACTAATCGACATTTCTACCAGTTCTTCAAATTCCCAAAGACACTGTATATAAAAATGAAATTATTCACTATGATTAAAATATAAAAATATACAACACGTATTAATTATCAATAAGTGCTGTCATTAAATTAGAGAAGAAAACAGTCAAATATAATTATTAATTACGTTAAAATTTAACAATGTGTGAAAAAATATTAAATGAAATTCGGCACTGGAAATAAATTTAAACGGAAGAAGTATAAAGCAGATTTAAATATGAAAACAAAATAAAAGGAGCCTCCAGGAACAAATATAAAAAAATTAAAAGTTAAAGGAAAATTAAAATTTTTTTCAAAATTAACCATTTATACTTACAAATTGAGTATCCTGCAATACAGGATATTTTTGAAGCATGTCTGCGGCTGGCATAGTTTTAACATCTTTTTGGCGTAGTTTTTTTGTTTTAACAAGATACGTCTTAAATGCTGCAGTATTTTTTGGGGTTTTTTGAGACTCTTCTAATAATTGCTGTGAGTAAATGGTAAATGATTCCTCATCACTATCTTTATGACAGTCTTCTGCAGCATTTTTTTTTAATTTTTGACATTCCTCGCTTTTTTTTGTTTTTTAAACACTGAGACAACCTTATTTCCATTCTTCTCTAAAATAATAAATGAATGAATAATATGTATACAGTAAAACAATAATATGTATACAGGTTCATGTGAGCATGAATATAAAATGTGTTTATGATCAAGTATAAATAAAAATTTCTTAAGGGGGGGGTAAGGTTAATTTATTTATAAATTAATAATAGTACAACATTTGAACAGTATTTCACCAAAGTTTCATTGCAAAATATTGAGAATTGATCGAGTGACAGTACATTTCCTCTGGCTCCCCAAAAAAAGTTATTTTGCGGTGTTCACTGTAACTCGCAATAGAATTATCTAAAACAAAAGAATCAAAATGGATTTGTTAAAGGAGATGTTTTTCTAGGTATCCCTGGGAGGGTTTTTTTTTATTTTTGAATTTTTTGTAGCACTTTGAAGCCAAAACCCGGCTGATTTTTTATAGAGAAAATCGGGTTTTTGGCTTCAAAGTGCTACAAAAAATTTAAAAATAAAAAAAAAACACTCCCAGGGATCCCTAGAAAAACATCTCCTTTAACAAATCCATTTTGATTCTTTTGTTTTAGATGATTCTATTGCGAGTTACAGTGAACACCGCAAAATAACTTTTTTTGGGGAGCCAGAAGAAATGTACTGTCACTCGATCAATTCTCAATATTTTGCAATGAAACTTTGGTGAAATACTGTTCAAATGTTGTACTATTATATAAAAATTAAATAAATATATTAACTCTTTCTATATAGCCAAAAAAAATTCGTAAAAATATGCATTTTTTTCATGGAATTAACCTTACCCCCCCCTTAACTGAATGAAAATGTTGATTAAAAATTTAAATTGTATTTACGATAAAAAATACTAAGCCTCCCAGTAAAAAAAAAAGTATAGACAGTAAGGAAAAAGTATAGACTCATAGCTTAGTGGCTATACCGTTCGGCATGTAATGACGGTATAGAGACGTTACGGTGTATACTTTTTTCTTACCGTGAATACGGTTCACCTGGATTGTTTGAATTGATGTGTATTAACGCGATTTGACATTGTCAATGAAAAAGCCGATTGTTTTGAAGTGTAATAATGCCGATTACGAGGAGGAGCGACGAAATTTTATCTAAAAGTTAAAAAGGTAAATGTGACAGGCACGAGACCTGCGAGAGTTGTTACCACTGGATTGAGGAAATGCATCATTACTGACAAAAAGTATTCGACAGAAACTTACCGACAGAAAGTTACTAGGAAGAGCGGCAAATTCAAATGGTCAAATTAAATTCGAATGAATATATACATAATTTAATGTAGTTTTTTTATTTTAAATCAAGTATAGTATTTTAAATAATTAAATACCGATATTAAATAATTAATGTTTATTATAAAAATTGACATATAGACATGAAAATTTTTTCATTTTTAGCATTTAAATCTGTGAAATAATGAAATATTGTAATTTTATTTTTTAATTTCATAAAATTTTTATTTTTTATTAATTATTAATAATTAAATTTTTTTCATAAAAATAAAAATGTACTGCAAAGAATATGTTTTATGCATTGAAAAATAAAAATTTGTTAAAATATATTATTTCTATATTTTGTAAATAAAGTTATTTATTAAAATAATTTTTTTATTTATAAAATTGAAATAGATTAAAAAATTAATGTTTTAAATTAAAAATTTTTTATTTGAATTAATATATGTAATTAACTATTATGAAAATTAATTAGTCGTTAAATTTTTTTTTTTTTTTAATAATAACTAATCTTTTTTTACCTATAAACAAATTTAATTTTATTTTGAACAAAATTATATTTTTAATGATAAAAACTTTGTTATTTTACATAGAGACGAATAATATTATACTTTTTTTATTTGTGAGTGAGAAGTGACCAAAACCAAATAATTGTAAATCATCGTAAAAATATTTTAAAAGGGATAGAAACAAAACAATACATTTTAAAATTATACAACACAAGAATACTCGCAAATGCGATTGTAAAACGAAAAGTACGAAAGTAATATAATTTTAGGTTTATTACGTCCTGCAGCCGTTAGGTGGCAGAAGCATGCAGGGAGCACAATGTCGCAGCTGTCATTATATTACTTTCGTACTTTTCGTTTTACAATCGCATTTTTGTATAGATTTACACAATCTTTCGGATTTAAGAAATTTATAAGATAAGGATCCTTGGTATTTTTTCCGATTTTGAAAAAAGTGTCCGCGTTTTGAGAAAAAAGTATTTTAAACTCAATGTTTATCATTTTCACGTTCAGTGCCGTTTTTATAGGGCGATTATTGAATGCCAAAGAATTTCAGAGACCGTTCGACACTCTTAAACGATATTTTTTTATTTGTGAATTTCTTTTATATTTAAACGCATTCTTTTATCCTACAATAATTTTTAATGCTTATAATTTGTTTCATACGCGTATATGCGATTTGCGAGTATTCTTGTGTTGTATAATTTTAAAATGTATTATTTGTTTCTATCCCTTTTAAAATATTTTTACGATGATTTACAATTATTTGGTTTTGGTCACTTCTCACTCACAAATAAAAAAAGTATAATATTATTCGTCTCTATGTAAAATAACAAAGTTTTTATCATTAAAAATATAATTTTGTTCAAAATAAAATTAAATTTGTTTATAGGTAAAAAAAGATTAGTTATTATTAAAAAAAAAAAAAAATTTAACGACTAATTAATTTTCATAATAGTTAATTACATATATTAATTCAAATAAAAAATTTTTAATTTAAAACATTAATTTTTTAATCTATTTCAATTTTATAAATAAAAAAATTATTTTAATAAATAACTTTATTTACAAAATATAGAAATAATATATTTTAACAAATTTTTATTTTTCAATGCATAAAACATATTCTTTGCAGTACATTTTTATTTTTATGAAAAAAATTTAATTATTAATAATTAATAAAAAATAAAAATTTTATGAAATTAAAAAATAAAATTACAATATTTCATTATTTCACAGATTTAAATGCTAAAAATGAAAAAATTTTCATGTCTATATGTCAATTTTTATAATAAACATTAATTATTTAATATCGGTATTTAATTATTTAAAATACTATACTTGATTTAAAATAAAAAAACTACATTAAATTATGTATATATTCATTCGAATTTAATTTGACCATTTGAATTTGCCGCTCTTCCTAGTAACTTTCTGTCGGTAAGTTTCTGTCGAATACTTTTTGTCAGTAATGATGCATTTCCTCAATCCAGTGGTAACAACTCTCGCAGGTCTCGTGCCTGTCACATTTACCTTTTTAACTTTTAGATAAAATTTCGTCGCTCCTCCTCGTAATCGGCATTATTACACTTCAAAACAATCGGCTTTTTCATTGACAATGTCAAATCGCGTTAATACACATCAATTCAAACAATCCAGGTGAACCGTATTCACGGTAAGAAAAAAGTATACACCGTAACGTCTCTATACCGTCATTACATGCCGAACGGTATAGCCACTAAGCTATGAGTCTATACTTTTTCCTTACTGTCTATACTTTTTTTTTTACTGGGCTTTTTAACTAACATGAATAGCTTCTGCATTGTTGCCTCTCAACCCGGGAAATCTTCTCGTAGCAATAATTCCAGCCATTAAAATGTACGTCGAATTTGTTTTTTTCGATTCAACTAATTTCTCAGAAATTAGCCGTACGATTTTACAAAAGTGAACTTTTTCTATCTCTGTATTTTTGAAGAGTTCAGTCATTATATCAAAATGGAATTCTGCAATGAAATTATGCGGAATGATGTCTTCCAATGCAACCTGTATTTTAAAAAGGGTACTAAATTAATAAAAATTGTTCTTCTTAAAAATAATTATCAGTTATACATAGATAAATAATATACGTGAAACCAAGAAATTAATGAACATAACATTTTTAACTTCTTAAAATGTTAATTTTCTTACCCATTGAGTTTTATACTCTTCTGGCAGATTAGAAATCACGTCCACTGCGTTGTTTTCTGGAATGTTGTCAGGAAAATAAATTTTTACTAACTAATAAAGAACAAGCATCGAAAGCAATAATAATATATATTTTCTGAAGCAGATTTTTAAATGTAAAAGGGATTATTGTTTGGGAAATATCATTTTTCGTTTATTTTCTACTGAATTTTCAGCTAGTAGGTTAAAAAAATTTTTTCATGTAATTTAATTTTATTCTTTCAGTTGAAACACAAAAAATTGGTTTTTTGAAGGCGATTCCACAATACCTTACATTTGAACTTGCTTTGCAGTTGCTTTGCATCTGCTCTGCATTTGCTTGTTGCGCGCGCAACTTGCTGATCAGTTCACGTTCCGTTCCACTCATTCCTAATATTCAAGATTCAATTGGTGTTTTTTCTTGTATAGTATTTATAAAAATAAATAATAAAGTTTTGCTCTTTTCATAGCGTTTGATAAGAAGGGTATTGAAAATAGAAAGATTTTAGTAATTTTAAGAATAGTACATTAAATATTAAATTATTGTGTTCTAAGGTAAGATATATAAATATAAATATATAGTACAATTATTATTGAAATATTATTCATATTTTTCAATGAATTATACTACATAGTAAATAAAATTAACTAAATTAGAACATACGCTTATTTTTAAGAAAAATATGGAGAAAGAGATTTGAGATGATCTTGATAGCGTTTCGTGTAATAGTCGAAATTTTTGGCAACTAGCACTTTAAATTTAAAATTATCAATAAAAATTTCATGTTAAACATTTCATAACCCAGTAGGCTAAGCTAAACCTGTAAATTTATATACAGAACTAATTTAAAAAAAATTTAAAAAGATAATTAAAAGTAAAATAAGTTTTTAAAACCATTTTTATTTTTCAAATTTTTTTATTGAAAATCATATTAATGTTGAAGAAGTTTCAAGTATAAGGGTGATTCTCTCAAAAAAGACAAATTACGCTTTTAAGATATTTTGTTGAAAAATATGAAAATTAATTGAAATTATTTAAAATTCTGTCAGCCATACGTTAGGATTTAACAATTTTCAATCGGACCACTAAAGAAAATTTTAAAAAAAGGTAAAATAACTGAAATATTGAATAAAAACTGATGTTACGGAATGGAGTTACGGAATGGAGTTTTAACACTAGTTTTCATTCAATAATTCAGTTGTTTGCCATTTTTTTGAAATTTTCTTTAGTGATCCCATAAAAATTTGTTGAATTTTATCGTATGGCTGGGAGAATGTTTATTAATTGAAATTAATGTTATTATTTTTTAACAAAAACCTCGTCCAAAAATTGTGCACAAATAATTTGTTCTTTTTGAGAGAATCACCCATAAGTATTAATTTATTAAAAAAAGATGAATCACAAAGAAATTAACGATTTACCTAAAAACAAATTACGTACTTTCTTTATAAGTGTATAACTTATAAAATTACCTTCATAATTAAGAATGTTTAACTCCTTGCCCTAACTTTCAACTAAAAGATTTTAATTTTTATCCAATTTTTATAATTAACAGCTGATTTTACTCTTTCAAAGATTTTGTACAATTCTGTTAGATTAACTTTGTTAATTTTGTTAGATTAACTTGGTTAATTTTTTTTAATATTTTAAAAAATTATTCATTCAATAACTTAAAAACATTTTTAAACCAAATTTTCCAAATGGAAACGTACAGATTTGTTTATAAAAAATTATTGTTATTTTTTTCAAATCATCAAATTTTTGTTTTTGTTTACATGATTGAGAAGTCAAAGATAAACTGAAAATTTCTTGTCATGGTGATATTTTTCTAAATTCAAAACTTTTCGTGTTATAGGTAATTGAAAATAGGTCTACTTTTTAAAATCTAAAATTTTAAAAATTCATAACTCGAAAAATTGATCGCCCATAAAAAAATACGTATTTCTTTTTTTTTAAAAGAATGAAAAAAAATATGTTTGGCCGTATTTAAAAAGTCGACTGAAATCTGACGTGGAATCGCCCACATGTATTAGTTTAACAAGATATATTAACAATATTAACCTAACATCCCTATTGAAAAAAAACACGTATAATTATACGTATAATAATACGTATAATTATACGTATAATTGTACGTATAATTATACGTATAATTGTACGTATTATTATACGTATAATTATACGTATTATTATACGTATTATTATACGTACAATTATACGTATAATAAGACATACGAATTTGAAACAAGAATTATACGTATAATAATACGTATAATTAATTATACGTATAATAATACGTATAATAATACGTATAATTATACGTATAATTGTACGTGTTTTTTTTCAATAGGGATATATTTTTGTTTATTAATATATACCTAAATATTATAAAATATAGACACGTATAATAATACGTATAATAATACGTATAATTATACGTATAATTGTACGTATTATTATACGTATTATTATACGTATAATTATACGTATTATTATACATATAATTATAATTCTATTAAAAATAGAATAATAGAATAGAATAGATTAATTAGTAGCAAAATTGCGCTGAAAATTTTTAGAAATTTTAAAATGCAAATTAAATTTCACGAAAAAAAATATCGTCGAATGTCAATTCAAGCAGTCACCCATCCAAGTACTAACCGCGTCCAACGTTGCTTAACTTCCGTGATCTGATGAGAACTTGTTCCTTCACCTTGGTGTTTCCGCTGTCTTGTCTTGATTAATAACTTTGTCGTATAAGTATCACTAAAAGTGAGGTTAGGTGCGATACAATACTTATACGACAAAGTTATTAATCAAGACAAGACAGCGGAAACACCAAGGCGAAGGAACAAGTTCTCATCAGATCACGGAAGTTAAGCAACGTTGGACGCGGTTAGTACTTGGATGGGTGACTGCTTGAATTGACATTCGACGATATTTTTTTCGTGAAATTTAATTTGCATTTTAAAAATTCTAATAATTTTCAGCGCAATTTTGCTACTAATTAATCTATTCTATTCTATTATTCTATTTTTAATAGAATTATAATTATACGTATAATAATACGTATAATTATACGTATTATTATACGTATAATTAATTATACGTATTATTATACGTATAATTATACGTATAATTATGCGTATAATTCTTGTTTCAAATTCGTATATCTTATTATACGTATAATTATACGTATAATAATACGTACAATTATACGTATAATAATACGTATAATTATACGTACAATTATACGTATAATTATACGTACAATTATACGTATAATTATACGTATTATTATACGTATAATTATACGTGTTTTTTTTCAATAGGGATTTTAAAATTTGTTATCTATATTCCCACGATTCATACTACAAATATTGGTTGTATTAAATTTTCGAATTATAATTACGTTTAGAAATATTGTAAATACTTATGTTATTCCTATTTTATAAATGTATGCAAATTTAAAACAAATTAAGTAATATTATATTTAAACATAACCTTAAAATAATACTTCACATTTATATATACTTAATATTTTAAAAAAAATCCAACATTTTTTTATTTACCACGAAATAAATAAAATAAAATAATCATCCACTTTAAACCTATTTATAAATTTATAATAAGTTTAAATAAACAATTATGAATTCAATCAGACAATTGAAAAAGCGGAACGGAACGTGAACTGATCAACAATTTACGCGCGCAACAAGCAAATGCAGAACAGATGCAAAGCAACTGCAAAGCAAGTTCAAATGTTAGGTATTGTGGAATCGCCTTCAAACAACTGACATTTTACTTTAGTAACTTTTTCAAGTAGAACAAAATTACGTCTCCCCATTATTGTAATTAAATGACATCCCTTTTAATTTTTACAATAAAAAATGTTTTTACGTTACCATTATCATTTATTTCCATATTTAAGTTGCTCTCCTCAGAAAGTTGTTCAATTTCTTCATTGACGTCTAAATTGGGTTCCCAAATCGTGGCAGTTTCTGTATTTTCAGAGACACTAGTATTCGTTTTTGTAGAAGTCGCATTATCATTTTCTTATAAAAATAATGTATAGTTAATAAAAATACAACTTTCCAATAAAAAGACTTGCAGACAAAACTAAAACTACCTAATTTATCGTGTTTTGCAGGAACACAGTTGCAATAAGCACATTCAACTTTTGAAGATCCTAAAAACTCTTCACAATCTCCACATGCACACCTTCCACGTTTGACTCCTCTGCAGTCTATGTTGGACATTTTCTAAGTTATTTATTAAACAGTATTATGTCAGTTTTTAATTAAAAACTGCGCTTAATGAGAAAATTAAAATTAGCACATCAATAATTGATTTTTTTTCTCTTCACAATTTCTTCAATCATTTACTACCACTAATAAAAGCATTAATCTATTGATTTAATAAATGAATACTTACAAACTGGATCTATTATCTTCTTATCTTATATTAAGGCGCTTGTATACCTCACTGATCCCGAGTATACTTGCGTCGTGTACCATGGGAGTAAAAGAGACGAAAATATCTTTTGTCTCTTTCACTCCAATGGTACACGACAGAAGTATACTCGGAATCGGTGAGGTATACAAGCGTCTTTAATGTCCAATTTTGATCATTACTTTCGTAAACATATAGAAACAATGCACTAAAAAGCATGTCACATTTCTGCATTTAATGAAAAACAACTTTTTCAAAAGTATCTTAAGCACACATCACAGGTGAACCGTCTCGTGACGCAACCTTAGTCGAACATCCGAAATGTAAATGATACAATGTGATACAATCGCGAACAAAATGTTTGGTTTATGTTTTTATCTAAAACATGGAGGAATAGTAAGGAGACCGATCTTGCTGTAGTAGCACTACTTCTGAAAATGTCCGAGAAACATGCACGATAAGTGCCAGTTTTGCTGCATTCTACTCAACCACCAAAGTAGTTGAGCATGCGCATTAGCCATGTGCTATCTCTTTCTCTCGCCCCCATAAGAACAAGATATAATTTTCTCGCAAAAAAGTACTTATATAGAATCTCTTCCATCCATAATCACCCCTTACCGGACAGGCTTGCTGTACTCTCGCGTCTCCTTCGTGACTCTAACGCCCAATTTAACTATCCCCTTTTAATTGCTTATGAGAAATCAAAGTTATACAGCGAATTAATCAGAACTAAGGATCTTGATCCTTATTTCGAATTCCTCTTTGAGGATCATATTTTCACTCCCCAAATCTCTCTTGATTTGGGTAAATCACTCCAAGGGTCCCAAAACCCTTCAGCTTCATTTAAAGAACTAACTAATATTAACTTTCCTACTCATACCTTCTTTTACACTGACGGCTCGAAGTCAGACAAGGACAACTTGGCAGGTTGCGCTTTCGTTTGTCCCAGTCTAAATATAACTTCTAAATTCAAGATTTCTAAATTTGCCACTATCTTTTCTCTTGAAGCATTCGCTATTTTATTTACACTTGATTATATAATTAATTCTAATCTCACTAATACAGTAATCTTCTCAGACTCACTTAGCGTTCTCAAAAACTTAAACTCTAAGAATATTTATAATATAAAATGCTACATAATTCTCGCAATTAGAAACCGCCTAAGGGTCTTGTCTGACTTGAAACGCCCGACAGTGTTAGTCTGGATCCCTGGTCACTCGGGTATCGACGGCAATGAAGCAGCTGACAAAGCGGCAAAAGAAGCATCAACAAATCTCGCACAATTAAATATTCAACTTCCCTTTTCAGATTTCTATAGTCTTGCGCGCAAACAACTCGACGAAAGTTGTAACTCTTATTTTATTGATGTGGGTAAAAATAAAGGTATTCATTACACACAACTTTTTTATAGACCTAGAAGGAAACCGTGGTTTTCTAATTTTGTAGCTCGCAGATCTTGGATCGTAACATTGTGTCGCGTACGTTCGAATCACTATAACTTAGCCGCTAGTCTGTTTAGGAAAAATTATATATTTTCGAGTAATTGTTCCTGCAGTCCGGGTGTAGAAGAAGACTTGGATCACATCCTTTGGGCTTGCCCAAGATTTGCTGCAATTCGTCCGGACCTTTTGAAAGCACTCTCGAGAGCCTTAAAGTGTCCTCCACCTTTCTGCAGCATCCAATTCCTCACTAATCCCTCCCCTAGAATAACCTCTCACATTTTCAGATTTTTAAAACGAGCCAACATTCAAATTTAATTTCAATTATACAATTTCTATACATTTCTCATCATCATTCAAATCTCGCGCGCTCGCGCTCTCTCTCTAACTCATTGTCGGTACGCCTTTGTCCGATTTAGAATCACTTTTAATTTGCGCCGGGGGTTGCAACCAGAAGTTTGTTGTCTGGTTGCTTCCACCGGTGCAGGGGTGGCGCTTGCGCCTCCACGTTACACCTTGTTCACAGGTTGAAAGTCAACAACATTAAGCTTCACTCATAATACCAGGTCATGGCTGGATATACAAGGCGCAAAGCTAGTATAAATGCCAACGTCAATCTTTACTACTACTACTACTACTCTTTCTCTCGCAAAAAGTGTGTGCAAGATACAATATCGCAATAGTAAATAAAATTTCTGAAATAAACACTGAACACTAAAATTTTTTTTGTGACATATATGTATATCGCATAACCACACTTTTTATCTGTCAAAATTGAGGTCCAATGCGCATGCTCACCCACTTTGGCCAGTCGAGTACATAATGATAAAGTTTTTTACTTGGGAAATGACATGGGGTTTGACATGGGAAAATTTTTCAAAAAAATGATAAAGGTTTTTACTTGGGAAATGACATTGGAAATGAGGAACCTCGTTTTGATATTTTCCTATGCCAAGTCCTCTCCCAATTTCCCATGGGGATTTACATGGGAAACCATATAGTTTCCCATATGGGGAATGGGGTTTTACATAGGATCCCATGTGGTTTCCCATGTGGGGATTTTCAATAGGGCAGCACATGAAAATATATATTTTAATAATTGTAAGTACGTATATACTATAAAATTGTGTTCTAGTAGCAACTGATTTTGTATACTGTTTCTGTAAAAAATGCCAAAGTTATTTTGCAATTTCATATTTATCTGTTCATAAGTAACTTATTTGTTTTAAGTTTTATTATAAGAATTTTGACTTACAAAATAAATGTTTCAGACGCCAGAGTTTCTCAACTCGGCGAAACGGTAGGTTTAAAATATGTGACGCTTTATAGTAAAAGATACCCAACCCACAAAACATTTTAGGTTATGTTTGTTATTTTGACTTTTAGTACAGACTAATAATATTTAAATCTTCATTACACCTAAAATACTCAATAAAATTTAGTTCTTATTTTACAAAATTAAAAAAGGCTCCATTAATCAAGATAAAACGAGCATAAACATAACATAAAATTTTTTGAGGAAGTAGTACCTTTCACCTTGGAGCGTCAATTATTAAAAAATAGAAATAAAATATTTTCTTCTTTCTTAAATTTTCCAAAAATGTTAACGTAGAGTGCTCGAATATAGTATGATATGCAATTATTTGCTTCTTGAATTTTACATTAAAATTAAATGTTGACTTTTTTCAGAAAATTATTTCTACTTTGTTTCATTGGATGTATCTGACGCCTGCAATTTTTGTCAATTGTAAAAATAAGAAATGGACATTCAAGATTTTACGTGCGGTTTTTGTAACCAACGATTTTTGCAACTCATGGATATATAAGATCATCTTAGAAATTTTCATCATGCAGACAGAAATGTGGTACAAATTTGCGGTATCAACAACTGCCCGGCAACTTATCAAAATCCAGCATCATTAAGATCGCATAGATTTAGAGTTCACAGGCGTGAAATAATTAATAATGAACTACTGCCTAATGTTGAAGTGCAAGAAATTGAACATGATCGGGGGGACATAAACCATGTTCATATTCCTGATCAATTAAACGACAACAATTTAGATCAACAAGGTGATAGAGAAGAAGTTGATTTTGAACCCAGTTCAAGTGAGGATACAGATGAAAGTACAGATAGTGAAGATGAAGTTATAAATAATAATCCGGGGATTAATGATGAGAGAAAACGTGTTTTAGGTCGCTTTTTATTAAATCTGCGAGGAAATACCAATGTGTCTGAAAAACAAATAACTGACATACTATGCATGTTACAGAATATTGTAAGGACTTACGTTGGTAACTCTCTTCATCAAATCGAACAAATTTTGGAGGAAAGACAAATCAATTTAGGAGATTATGTTGATATACAAAATGAAGTAGAATCAATTGACTGCATTTTCGATTTAAATAATAAAGAAAAACGCGCAGAATATTTAAAAAACGAATTTAATGTTGTCATGCCCATTAGATATACGCTGGGCAGACGATTTGTAAAGTATGGAAGTGCTGCTACAGGTCAAGATCGTCCAACCAAACATAAAAGGGATGAAATGATGTTTATACCAATAACAAAAACTATACAAAAATTTGCTGTCAATGATTCTTTTCATGGCCTGTTAAAATACCATGATTCACTAGAAGGCATTTTTGCTTCTGTTAAAGATGGAAACAGATACAAAAATGAAACGTGGTGGAATTCGCGTGATGAATCATTGCATATTAAATTATATTCTGATGAGGTCGATATGTGCGATGGATTGGGATCTAAATCATCGGGAGAACAAAAATTATCAATGATATATTGCTCACTTACTGATATAGATCCAATTTACCAATCTCAGTTATTATTTAATTTTTTAGTGGCTATTGTAAGATCTGAAGATGTAAAAAAATATGGCATAAATAGGATATTGAGGCCTATTGTAAATTATATTAAACTACTTGAACAAGGAATTGAAGGTCCAATTGACACATATATACAAGGAGGTTTATTTGCAACTATAGGTGACAATCTGTCTCAAAATTCTATGGGTAGATTTAAAGAGTCTTTTGGAAGAACATCACACTGTTGTCGCTTCTGTCTTGCAGACTTATCAGATATTAGAATATTAACTGAAGAAAGATTTAATCTTATTAGAAACCCTGTTAATCATGACAGACAAGTTTTAGAGCTTGAAAATGTAGAGGGAATTGAAAGAGAACAGTTATCAACGCTTTATGGAATTAATGAAAGGAGTATTTTAAACGAATTACAGGGGTTTCACGTCACAGAAGGATCGCCACCTGACATAGTTCACGATATTTTACTGTCACTTTTACCAAAAGCACTGCAATATTTAGCTCAAAAAGTAATTTAAAAAAAAATTTCTCTAAGACAATTAAATAGAAGAATACAAAATTTCAACTATGGTTACTCAGAAACTAAGTACAAACCTTCTGTATTAAAATCGAAACATTTAATTCCAGGAACGAATATAAAACAAAATTGTCCATATTTTTATAATTATAGAAACTTATTAGAGATAACTATGATTGTTTTCGGTTACTCTATTAGTAATGAGATGATAGAATTTTTGAGTGACAGCATTGC